CATTGTGTAGAGGCTTTACTGGATTCTTCAGACATCTGATAGCCACAGACAGATGGAATTCAATCCCCAAAGAAAATGTGGCAGTAAAACATGCAGAGAGACATTTAGTTTTTGTTTGAATCATCAGAAATGAATTTCTTTTGTGTTCAATGAGAAAAGAAATGTAGGTGTGTGTATGCCTTTACAAGGTCACCTGTGCTTGTCTACTCTTGCCTCTATAAAAATACTAATGATCTTTAAGTAATAATTAGTTAAAAAAATCAGTTGATGATGTTCCTGCAAAAACAGTGCTTATGTAAGTCATCATATTTCTGCTCGTTCTGCACTGTAGAAATTTGTGTGTGTGCATGTGTGTTTTAATCTATAACCCCTACTTGTAAGAAATCTGAGTGGATATACCCAGAACATCAAGGTTATCTTGGTTTGTATTAGGTTGAAGTGCAGAATCAGAAAACTAATAAAAATAGGGTTTTATCTTTGAGATTGGTCTGAGTTACATTAACTGGGTTGTGTCTACTCATTTATCACAGAGAAAACAATAAATGCTCTGAAATATATTGTCATTTTTTCAGTCTAATTCTCCTTTAGTTTTATTAATGTTTGTTTTTCCTTAAGTGAAATGTATTATGAAAGTCTAGTGAACATGCCAGGATTTCCCTTCCACTTTAGAGTGATCTTCCCTCTGTTTATTTGGGAAATGATGGAGGGAATACTTTTCCTCGGCCTTTTCCTGCATGGTGTTCATGATGCCAATCTTTTTGAGATTTGTCTACTTTCATTTGTTTTTTAGCCTCCAGCTCATTTTAGTTCTGGTTACAATCTTGAACCCATTCCCCTTTGACAGGTTGCTGCTACATACAAGGAGGCAGTTCTAAGGAGCTTCAAGGAAACATCAGCTACTGCTTCTTTCCTCTGTTCTCTACTGTGCTAGTTTCCACCTACCTTTCAGGGAACACCAACAACATAGATGGTCTAGTCCCATAGACCACTATCAGAACAGTGTATTTCTCCAGAATAAGATAGGTTAGGGAGCTGTGACAGAATTATCCAGGTAGGAATTTTTCAGCACCTAATTCTGCAGAAGATTCTAACTCAGATCTGATCTTCCTGTGTGATTTCCATAATCTTTCTTTTATTCTTCTCAGTGGTCAACAGATGTCTGTGTAATAAACACACACACACACACACACACACACACACACACACACCCCTCTAAAGGAAAAATATTATTCTAAATGACCATCTTAAGTTTCTCTCATCTCACAACAAATGTACCATTTCATGTAACATTTTAATTGATAATATACCATCTCTTTCCTGTATTATTATCTCTACATGGAGTAAGAAATCATCTCTTAAAGATGACTTCCTTAGCATATCCGAAGACTACTCACTCTCAGTCTTTGACAGTATACTGCTTTTTTTTGGCCTCAGTTATACAAAGGACCAATTTTCTCCAGGCCTCTGTTGGTTTGAATAGGAGAGAAGAAGCAGGATGAGTATGGCAGGGGAAAATTTCAAGTTTAGTTTTTCAATTCATTTGTAAAAGATTTAACCCAGTGGATGACCTAAGATTTTAAACAGATCACTTGCCCATGCGTAAGACTAGACCAGTGCTGTCCAAAAATAATAAATTGTAACTCACATGTGTAATTAATTTTAAGTAGCCACATTAAAATAGTAAAAAAATAAAAATTAATTTTAATGACATACCTTGTTTAATCCAATCAGGTTATCAGGACTAAACCAGAGAAGCAGAACCAGTAGGAAATTATGCCAATATATTTATATATTAAGACATTTATTACACAGAACTGGCTTATATGATTGTGATGACTGGCTAAGTGTCAGGAAAGGAAATCACAGGAAAACTTGAGCCTAAGGGGGGCAGAGACCAAAACTAAAGTCCACAAAGAGAATTTCTTCACTTTCCCTGGGAATTCTCAGGCCTATTTTCAAGATCTTTCAATGGAATCAGAAGACCCCACCCAGACAATCCAGAATCATCTTCTTATTTAACATCAGTGGGTTAGGCTGGGGTGTCCAGCGTGTGGCCCCTGGGCAGCCTGAGCTCAGGATGGCTATGAACACGGCCCAATACAAAATCATAAATTTACTTAAAACATTATGAGCTTTTTTTGTGTGATTACATGTGGCAATATATTTAACATGTAGCCCAAGACAACTCTCCTTCTTCCAGTGTTGCCCAGAGACACCAAAAGTTTGCATACCCCTGGTAGGGATTTTGATTACTTCTGCAAAACTCCTTCACAGCAACTCCTAGATTATTGTTCATTTGAATGACTTGCAATAGCAATTTAACCAAGCTGACACACAGATAAAACCATCACCTCAATATACTCAAAACATTATCACTATAATATGTAACTCGTATAAAATCATTAATAGTTTACATTTTTCTTTATACTTAGTCATCATAATTCAGGGTGGATTTATACTTACATCACATCTCAATTTGCACTAACCATGTATCATGTCCTATATATGCACATGTCTAGTGGTTCTGCTTTGAACAGTGTAAGTCTAAACAGAGACAAACAGTAATTAGGCTGATTATCTTGCACCTTGAAACAGGTCTAAAAATACAACTTCAGTGTGTGTATGCATGCATGTGTGTAATAAAGTTTATTGTTAGTTTTTTTGCCTATAGCCTATAAGATGGAACCTTATTATGCCTTTGCAAACAATACATTTCTTAAAACACTGATCAAAGGTTTCTACACATCAAGCTCTGTATGACAGATTATGGTGCAACATTATTTTTGTTATGTAATTATATAAATATTATAGAACCCAAAAGCATAGGAAAAGCAAAATAAATATAATTTTGAGCCATCTGAACACATTCTTGGGAATCATGGCCCTAAGAGGAACTTGGTAATGTTTGAAGACATTTTTCATAGTTATGGCTGAAAATGAGACTATGGGAATCCAGTAGGTAGAGACCAGGGATATTCCTAAATACCATGGAATGCACAGAATAGGCTCACTGCACCCCAAATAATGATTCACCCAACTCAAGATGTCAGAGATGTTAAGATGAAAAACTGTGCGTTATAGTAAGATTTGGAGAGCATAAAGGAGAGAGAAAAATACACTGTGAGATCAATGAAGATGGAAGTTTCCTATTTCCTGTGGAGTTTCCTATTTCCTTGCACTTTGGTGAATTTTTTTTTTCAGAGATGTGCTTGAATATCTTAACTCTTTTGTATCTGCATTGTTATACTCAAAGTCAACAATGGGATAAGAGTAAAGCGGTGGTGATGAATACAGTGTGATTATGAATTAATAGGGAAAATGAAGGAAGGAAATATTTACAGCAGTGATTACTTCCAAACAAGTGCGTGAAAGTTAGTCATTGCTTTTTATGAAGATATTTAGGATTTCCTTATGGTTAGTCTTGATTTTAAACTTGTAGGGAAATTATAAAACTCCAAAGTCAAATTTATAAATGGAGAATTTTAAGTGTACACAGTAATCAGCACCACGTCAGGCAATCTGTGGAATAAAGTTATAATAAATAAATAAGCAAAACTCATTAGCATTTTTCTAAGAAAAACCATGGTATTTAAGATTAAGTCCCTTCTCAGAGGACATAATCATATTTGTAAATTCTAATCTCAAATTTGTTTCTTTCCAAATTAACTGCAAATTCAAAATTAACATCATTTTCTAAGCCTTGTTATATATGTGTACTGAAGTCAACAACAAATTAAATATATTTCATAAACCTGATATTTAGAAAAATGTAACAACTAACTTATTTTGTGAAATAGGTCATATCTCCTTGCAATAAGTATTGGTTAAATGCAATACCAAATTCTCTTTATAAATATGAGGTCTGTCTGGAAAATGTCCAGCCACTGTTAATATAACAAGAATGGTTTGCATGACATGGATGTAACCTGGCAGCCAAGGAGAGTGGAGTAGAATGCACATGTGTGAACAAATGATAACTTCACTGTACTAGCCAGTGGGGGCAGTAGACGCTGTTGAGTGGGTCTGTGTACTGTGTGGCCATCACATTCAAAATGACTGAGTAGAACTATGAATCTGCACCAAATTTTGCATTAAGCTTGAACGTTTCTCCATGGAAACTATTCAGGAGATTCAGAAGGCCACAGCAATGGCCAACTGGTGATTGATTGGTTCATGACAATGTACCCACTTACGCATCATGTCTCATACAGAGTTTTTTGGTGAAACATCAAATCACCCAGGTGACTCAGCCCCTCTACAGCCCAGATTTGGCGCCCTGTGACTTCTGGCTGTTCCCAAAACTAAAATCACTATTGAAAGGGAAGAAATTCCAGACCATCAATGAAATTTAAGAAAATACATCGGGGCAGCTGATGGCGACTGAGAGAGAACTGTGTGAAATCCCAGGATGCCTATTTGAAGGGGACCAAGGTGTCATTGTCTTGTGTACAATGTTTCTTGTATCTTGTATATTCTTCAATAAATATCTCGATTTTTCATATTACATGGCTGGATACCTTCTGGACAGACCTCATATAGCTTAGAGTCACTGCATCTGAGATATACTTCTTATGAGATAGTTGTTACAGTTCATTTCTCAAACTTTTAATTTAATATGTAAAAACTAAATCTTCCTAAATCTAAATAACACTCTTACTAAGGATTCTTAGTTTATATTGACAATAATTGATGTAAAACATAATTATAATTTGCGATCAATTTTTGCACTGAAAACAGTGACAACATATTTCTACTGATGTAAGTTTTTAAGCTTTTTCAAATAACTCTAAGTTAAGGTAACTCATATGTTTTCTTATTTCAATAAATGAATAATTTATGTATAAATATGTTAACAAACCTTTTTCTTTTAGATACTCATAAGCTTGTTAGATGTAATTTAGACTTTGTGGTAAAGTTATAAAGTTTGAGTTATAGTGATAGTTTATATTTTGTACATTTTCAAAAGGAGCTTTTAAATTATAAGTTCTATTTTCCTCTAGAAATACGCAAAGAAAAAACTGAAAAGGAGGATAAACCTGAAAAGAAAATACAAACTAAAGGTAAATGTTTAATTTTGTGTTTATTCTTATTTTGCTTAAGAGATATGTATATGTATTTATTTATACACATATGTGCATTTATGTGAGAAAAGAAAGTCTTCATATTTAGTGTTCCTTTGTTTTAATTTTTGATAGTGTTTAAATAAGTACCTTTACTTCCCATTTAACTTCAGGTATAAATATATAAATGATTTTTAATGACTGGAATTAAAGTGACTTCAAAATGTATGACAGTCTTTAAGCTATTTGCAACAGGTTTTCACTAAGGTAGTACCACAAACATATTTTTTGACTTAATAGCAAATGTTTTTAAAAAATAAGATGCAATAATAAATCAGAGTTCAATTTATCTTAACCTTGAATTTTTTTATGCCATGCATTACTTTCAAAACCTGTGGAATAGAAATGCAGTCATTATATTCCCTCACTGCATACTGCCAAGGCGCTACAATTTTCTTTCACAACCTACAGTAGTAGACGGACGGGGACAACATGATGATTAATGTCCCTTTCAAGTGAACTGAACCCGGTAACTGCAGTGTTTCATGACCAGCATTGTCTTGTTCATCTTGCAAGCATTTTATATTGGGGGGCAGGAGGGTTGGCTCATGTAGTCATAAAACTTTAAAGAAATTTATAGAAAGCAAAAAATTTCAAAACATATTTCTAAATATGACCAGCTTGCTCCAGTCATCAATTTTACATGATTTTGGATGAAACTGACCATTTTTTAGAGGGGTGGTTAAACTGGCCCTGGCAAAATAAAAATTTCATAATTGCTATTATTGTGTGATACAGACAGAAAGTGAAAGAATTTTCCTGGGATAAAAATTGATTGTTGTCTAATATATATTATGTCAAAACTGGCTAATGCAAAATTACCTACAGTAAATATCAAAGGTGCAAAAAAGAAAAGTTTCAAATGATAGAAGTAATAATTAACCTAAAATTATACAAATATGTGGATCTACATTTAAAATGTCATTTTTTAAATATGTACTTAATATACTTTCTATTGTGTAGACCTGAAATCATTCTGCAGACATTATATCTTTAATCCTAATGTTTGAATTCATTTCAGATTGGTCAGCCAATCCCTATACAAATGGGACATTGAAGCTTACTCAATTGAACCTACTTATATTTGTATTTAGGAAACTAATGTCTTCTTACCTTTCCCTTTCCTTTTTTGGTTCTTAATTCCTTTAGTCAGGGAAATTGGACACAGCTCTTAGGTACAGATTGACTAGCCATGACTGAACTGGCTATGTGTTTTTATCTGCTGAAGGTTGAACATAGAATCTCAACTGGTTCCCACGAACGGGGCCTCTGCTGTTTTATCTTGCAGAATATGCTGTTAATTTAATAGCAGTGCTGCTGGAGTGGATGTGATGATGCAGATGGCACCATTGCCAGTTTGGACCTGGCTCTATTAGAATTCTGCTGTTAAAGACTTTGAGCAGTGGGCTGTAGAGTGGGTTTATTAAACTAGTGAGTCTTGCATAATTAAAACTGTGGATTTGGCTGAGGTTTACAATAACTTTCTCAAAGGCTTGGCTAAAGATTAGTACCTGAATATACATCCTGGAACGTCAGCTGTTCAACACTGAAATGGGCTTACGGGGTAGTTTCTTTTCTCCACAACTTTTCTGTGTGAATATGAACAAAAGATTTCATATGCTGCTTAGTTTCCTTATCCAGGTAGAATAATATCTGCTTTTTGTTTTCACGCTGCTCAGTGAAAAAAATAAATGGTTTTATAACTGTTCACATATGTAGATGACTGTATGTTTATGTGCCACATTCCATATCAGTTAGTTAGATATGACTGATAATTAGAAATTTAAATTGTTATCAAAGCATTTTATACTCTTAAAAGAAAAGATGCAGTATACCCAAGTAAATAGTAGCCTGCAATGGTTATAGAAAAGCTAGCAAATATCTGAATTTAAAAAGATGCATTATGCTAAAGCTGTTATATTTTAGGGGTAGATAAAATTTTTGACGATAGAAGCTAGATCACATCCTACTGTCTCTATTTTTTTTCTTCCTCCTTAAAGTACTTATATAGTATTCTAAAAGGTTTTAAGAATGTGAAGTTATTGGGAAAGCCATGGAAATCTACACCTAGATTCTTTACTCATCTACTGAAATAGAGAGAGCAAAAGAATTCAAATCCCAGAGAACATACATTTTCAAAATAATTTTGTATAAATATGCTAACTAATTCATGTTTAAAATATCAAAGAATCATTGTTTTAATTCTGATTCTTAGTCATAGAAAATTAGGTACTCTTTATAGTCAACCACATTATCTAAGTGATTTTAATTCATGAGGACAAGGTAATTTTTATTCCTCTTTTGTCCATCTATTTATTTTGTTTGATATTTTGCATTAAGGGAAGAGAAAGGAACAGTTTCACGAAGATAAAGAGTAAATCCTTTGATTCATAACTGGTGATGAGTACTCATTTTGGTTTTAAGGTATAAGCTCTGACATATAAGTTGATGTTTATCTTTGAATTAACCTTGATTTTTTCCCATATGAAAGAGGCAGTAACTTATTTTATGATCAGAATAGCATATATATTTGTGACTCTGTGTTGAACTCCTATAGAAACACAATGAAAAATTACATTTGCTTGGAAGAAATTTACAACCATAATTTAACTTTTCCTGGATAACCAAGGTGCCACTCACCAAATTTTTACTAATATAAATGGCCTCTGGCATTTACTTCTATTATTCTGTGTTTTCTTATCTGTGAACAAAGAGATTCAGACTCAGTCATCTTTCAGGTTCTCATTAGATCTGAATGTATGCTAATGTCAAATTAAAATTATTCTAGTAGCTAGCAAAGTATCCAACACATGAAACACACTCAGTAAATATTGAAATAATGAATAAATTAATAAAGTATCCATCTTCTCTATTTTGTTAATCTGTACTTGATGCCTATGAAAATTTTTTCCTTTGAGATTTATTTTTTATTTTCATTTTTATATATTTATTCAGCTTTAATTGCACCCCTCTAATATCAAATTTATTTGGTTAGCAGTAATTGAAGTATTTAATAGTGAGTTTCATATTTAAAAAAATCTGTAAGATGTTATTAGAAAACACCTACAATAAAATATATAATATAATAATATAAATTAAAGTAATACAGATTAATTTGGACAGTTTTGAAAATAAAAAAAGGAAAGAAAAATAATCACAACCCAATTACCCAGAGATAAATGATAACATTATTTTCCTCTGGTTTTTCCCTCCATTCAGTTGTTTTTTAATTGCATATTGCTTTGTTTCTTTGCAATTGCAAATTTTCTGGTTGTTTTCAGATAACATTTAGGCTTGTATTTAACTACTAAGCATTTCAATTTACTCATAAAACAGAACAAACTCAAAAAGATTAGAACCTGGTGATAAACATATAACTGAATGAGAGAATTTTTGTCCATGATGTCTCCTAGACAAAAGAAGGCCTTTTAGGCATTCAGAGCCGTGTTTCTGCTACATTCACTTGGATTGTCAGGTGTTCAGGTGCAGCACTGACCTCAGAAATGGTGAGAAAGTTGAGTGCAGAAGTGTGTGCTGGTAGATGGCATATGGTCAACATCAAAGTGAGCCAGCCAATGGAAATGGAGATATCCTGCAAGGCACATATTGTAAATGGGAAAACTGGCCATAGCTATCAGGCAATGATACACATTAATTTATCCACAGCACTTACTTTGTGCCAACCACCATTCAGAGCACTAAAAATTCAAAGAAGATTAAGACTCAGTCCAATGAGTAATTCAGAAAGGCAAATACCGGCACATGGTGAGCACTCCATGGAGAACCGTCCTGGAGAAGAGATGGTCTGGCCGCCTCTGTTGCAGAGCACGTTGGACTGTAGTTTTCTGGTAGGGCCTTGGGAGCAAAGGGTAGGTTAGGTGTTTCCTAGAAGTTTAAGACTTTGTTTCCTAAGCCTTGTTGTAACAAAATATCAAAAGCTGAGTAGCTTAAAATAACAGAAATTTATTTTTGGCCATAGAAGTTAATTAAATTAATTGCAATCCATAGCCTATAGTACACTGCCTGCAAAGTAAGGATCTCAGCAGGGTTGATTTTTCTCAGAGAACTGTCAGGGAGAATCTCTTTGTGTTTCCTGGTGGTTTACTGGCAGTCTTTGGCTTGTAGATGAATCATTCTGATCTCTGCTTTCTGATCTGAATCACACACATCTCCAGAGGCTGTTCTCCCTGTGTCCCTGTCTCTTTCCTTTGTGTATATCTGTTTCTGTCCGAGTTTCCCATTTTCATAAGGAAACCAGTCATACTGAAATGGTCCCACCCTAGTGACTTCATTTTACTTTAATTATCTTTGTGAACACCCTATTTTCTACTGAGGTCACATTCTGAGATACTGGAGGTTAAAACTTCAATGCATTTATTTAAGACGACATAATTCAACTCATAGCATTTACTATCACATGCACAATGTCAAAGAAACATTATCTATAATATATAGAGATTATATATAATGATATAAATAATATATAATTATATTGATTATATATATAATGGTATAGATTTTGTGTGTGTGTGTGTGTGTGTGTGTATAGTTTGTCCAGAAAAAGTCCAGCCATTGCTAATATAACAAGAACAGTTGGAGCAATAACAGAATGGTTTGTGTGACATGGATGTAACCTGGGAGCCAGGAGAATGGACTGGAATGAACATGCAAGAACAATAACAGCTTCACTGTACTGGTCAGTGGGGATGGAGTAAATGCCCTTGATTAAGCTTGTGTACTGTGTGGTCATCACATTAAAAAATGACTCAGTGAGTAGAGCAACAAACCTGCATCAGATTTTGTGTAAAGCTTGAACATTCATCGGCAGAAACTATTCAGATGATTCAGAAGGCTTTCGGGGGTGATGCAATGAGGGCAGTACAAATAAAAGTATGGCACAAACATTTCAAAAATGATCGAGAATCTGTTGAAAGTGATCC